ATCCAGTATGCCCAAGGATGGAAATATTTTAAATTGTACTTCAGTTCTAGAATGGCCAATCATGGAGCAGAAAAAGAGAGGTGAGGAAGATAAGAGAGAAACTTGGAAGAGATGGAGAAATTGAGGTAAACAGAGAACCGGGGAAAAAATAACAAAGGACACACTTGGTGGCTTTATTTTTAAAAAATGATTGTGTAGCACTTGTCACATTTGTGTTTTTTTTTTTTTTTTTTAATTATACTTGTGTTTTTGTTTTTTGCTACCCTTTTAAAAAGGCTACTCTTTATAACTTACCAATTCTCTTTTCCTTTGAAATTCTTACTGGGTCTATCATGGTCCAAGTGAATTTGCTACAATGATGAAAATGTCCTGTGTCTATTCAGTCTTACACAGTAGCCACACCTGACTACTGAGCACCTGAAATGTGGCTAGTGCAATCCAGCAATAGGATTTTAAAATCTACTTCATTTTATCTAAAAGTCACATGTGGATGATTGGAATGTGCAGGTCCAAGGGACATTTACAATGGAAAGAAAAATGGTGTCAAGAAGATGTGCAAATGAATAAGCACAGATGGAATTAAACTAGAGTGAATTATAGCCTTTCAGCCAGATATCTTCCCATCCTTAAAGTGTCATGTACACAAAGCACTCAACAAACATTATACTGCTAATCATTCTGCTGCACATGCTGTACCAAGGTGGTTCTGGTCAATGCTAGACCCCAGTGGTTCCTGAGAGATTATGAAGGCGTTGAGAGACTACTATCACCTAGTGGTGTCACAAGCCATGGTGATGTTTCAATGCAGCTCATTGCTTGGGTTGGTGATGATGCTGAGTGTCAGCACACCTGCTGTGCTTCTAGTCTCCTAACATGTAGTGCACACATGTATAGGACACAACACCAGTTACTTGAAAAAGGCAACAAATGACGCTGTGATGGTTTATGTATTGTTATTCCATACTTAGATTATAATTTAGAATTATTCCTACTCACTAAAAATTTTAACACAGCATAGGTGTTACTTGGGCTCACTTCATGCATTTTGTATTTACCAAGTCTCTAAATCACATCATTTTTTTCTTCTGCTTGACATAAATCGCCTGATGTTTTGTCATTGTGGCCCTAGGAATAATAGGTCGTGCCACAAGAACATATATACAGCATATAGTCTAGGCATGTAATAGGCTACCTGATCTAGGTTGACATAAACACACTCTGTGATATCTTAAGAACAAAATCTGGTCATTAAAAAATGTGAAGCTAGCTCAGAACACAGAGATCTTGTTTTAGGTGTGCAAAGAACTAACTGGATGAATGATTTTTTGTGCCCTACAGCTAAAATTCCCACTGTTATAAAATGAGAACAGTCCCACCCTCACTATCCCTCAAAGAAGCATGAGGTGCATGGATAGCTCTGGAAGTTCTTTGTGCTGTGCTTGATCACTTGGCTGGCAGTTATCTGCATCCGTTCTTTCTTCCATCCTTTAATTACTGCCTATCTTGCCCAGATAAGGAATACTCTTTAAGGAGTGGAAACAAAAGTCAATGTCAGGCAGTGGGGCAAAAGTCAGGTTAAGTGTCGATCTCCTAGACTTTCAGTGCCTGGAGGAATAAGGCTTTCAGGAAGTATTCAGTTCTCCACGCTGTCATTTGCACTAATAAACAGTTATCAACCAGCAGTTTGACCCCTGTACTAGCACTTCTCTGCGTCACTGGAGCACGTCGCTCTCTACAGGTGTCACTCACTTTATTCATAACGACTCAGCCTTATTTTCTTCAACAGTGTCTTTTCTCTACTAGCTAACGTAACTGTTTGCCTGGGTTTCCGGAAGAACTGCCCTTTGGACTCCACAGACTCCTCAAGGAGACCTGGACTGGGAATGCGTCACCAGTTAACCATGTCACTGGCAGGGGCAGCCGAGGTCAGTTACGACCGTCAGCTGGCCGTGGGTACGCAGTGCGGGGCGCCTAGCAGGTGGTCAGCAAGTACCTGTTTTACGAACGCAGGTGTGAAGAAGGGACGCCGGTCACGTGCCGCGGGGGCAGCCTTCTGTACAGAGGCGGGGACCGGGCGTCTCTGCATGGTGGCCGCACTGAGCGCGAGGTCGAGTCCAGGGCGAACGCCACGCCCACGTCCTCGCAGCAGCGCGGCGGCCAGCTTGCCGTGACCCCGTGGCCTCCGCGGCCCGGCTAGGCACAGAGCCCGGCGCGCTGCCTCGTGTGCGGCGGGGCGGGGCCGAAACGAGCGCGGTCAGCAGAAGCGCTCGGCCGCTCTCTCGCGACGCCCGCCGACGCAGCGCTGCGCTTCCGCTTCGGGGCGGCGGAGGCGGGGGTCTGACGTCGCCGCTCTCTGACGTCAGGCCTGCGCGCCGCTGGTCGCCCGGGAGATTGAGCGCCGCGTCCCCTGCGGATGGCGGTCTAGGTGAGAGACGGCGGCGTCCCGCGGCGGCCCGGTCGGGGCCGGGACACGCTTCCGGGGCAGGGGCGGGGGACGCGCGCTCCGCTCTCGCCACCGGGAGCCTTCCGGCCGCGGCGGAGCGGAAGGCGACTCCCCATCGTGCCCTGGGGGCTGCCCCCGCTCCGGGAGGTCCGAGACCTGGCCGCCGCTCTGGCCGCACCGTGGGCGTCGTACCGGGCGGGAGCAGGGGCCCCGCCGACGCTGGAAGTGGGCCCGCAAGGAGAGCAGGTGCCGGAGCACCGCGGCGGAAGGTGTGAGACCCCAGTCAGCGCGCCCGGTGACCGCTTTCCATGTTGCCGGGAGCGCGGGAAGGCGAGCCCTGACTTTCTGGAGAAACGAAGGGTTTGTGAACGCCTTCTCTCTTCCTCTCAGAATGCAAGCAAATCTTTATAAAGACCCAGGAATGCTTTTCTGAGGACCTGGAAGCCATTTCTTTCAAATGCAAACATAAAAAAGAAAAGAAAGGGAAAAAAAAGCAAACATCAAGGAAAACTGAGCCCCTTCTGCTTGACGCCTTAGAAGCTTATTTAGCCAGGACGCCCAACTCTTGGTTGTAACTACCTGCCTATGCTCCTTAGCGTGACGACAATTAGCTAGCACCAATTACCTGGTGGTAATTATAAACAATAATTAAAACTATAAAACAATATATAGCATTAAGTCCTCTTACGTGAGGACAAGTGACCAATTTTCTTGCGACATGTATGTAACGAACACGTGCATGTGTTTTCTTGGCTGTATAAAAAGAATGGGATTCTTTGTAGTCTCTTCACCAGATTGGCTGTGAGGAGCACTGAAATCTAGCTAAATGCTTCTTCAGTAATAAAACTTTTCTTTCTGCATTGTGGAGTTTTCTGGCTTGACAGAATATCTTATTTTTAGATTTTTCCTCAGTAATCAGAACCTGCCCATTCCTTCCATTGGTATAGTAAGGCCCTAAATTGGGATAGATTCATAAGTGATGAAGGTAACCTCTGCCAGTGCCTCTTGTTTGCATTATCGCTCAGATCCGGGATCTTAAATACTTTTATGAGTAATATTTAAAAAGATTTAGTAGGTCATTTTAGGAAGAAATGAATGAAATTGAAGATGTTACCATTTTATTTTACTAATAATGAGTCCACTATAAAATAGCAGAAATGAAAATAATGAACCTTACAGTCTTCGGCCAAATGACTGACGGTCTGCCAGACTTCAGGTTAGGTAGTTGGCCATTAAGTTTACTGTTATGCTTGACCTGGGTTAACTTTACGAACCACATATAGTGTTATGTTTTATATGAGAAGACTATTCATTAGTTACTTGTTTTACATAGCAACTCACTGAAAAGAGAAATGTTTGTGCTAACTGGGGATGAAGAATCCTCTTTTCAACCAGTGGTTGCATGCTTTACAAAAATAATGCCACAGCAGGATTTTATTTATTGATTGATTTGTCAACTACAATTTTCCTGCTATCCTTATTGTGGTTGGAGTTGTTCTCTCTGATAGCGCTCTGTGTGTTTCCTGTCTCTTTTGTCAAAATCCTTCCCTGACCAGAGGCAGAAATCCTCAATAAGTATCCACTAAATTCCTGCCCTACCTAACAGACAAGACATTTTTTTTCCCCCTGAACTCTTAGATTGCTCTTGTCCCTAACTCAGGACACCTTCTGTGCTGTGGAATCCTTTGCTGGTGTCATCTGACTTTCCACATCTTCCCCTTCTTTTTTTTTTTTTTAAAGAGAGAGAGAGACAGAGAAAGAGAGAGAGAGAGAATTTTTTAATATTTATTTTTTTAGATTTTGGCGGACACAACATCTTTGTATGTGGTGCTGAGGATCGAACCCGGGCTGCACGCATGCCAGGCAAGCGCGCTACCGCTTGAGCCATATCCCCAGCCCCACATCTTCCCCTTCTTAACTGCTTAGATATATATGAACAACTGTCACTCAGATTGGACTAGCTGCCCTTTCTCCATATTTGGGAAGGATTAAAGAAATAAAAAGAATGTGAAATGCTCCATTCATCCTCTGTGGTTTTATGAAAGTAGTGCTAGAGATTCTTATTGAATTTTTTTTTTTTTAAATTTAGTTGTAGGTGGGCACAATACCTTTTATTTTATTTATTTTTTTAGGTGGTACTGAGGATTGTATTCAGTGCCTCAAATGTGCTAGGCAAGTTTTCTCTACCACTGAGCCACAATCCCAGCCCTAGAATTTTTTTTATTAGAAAATAAAAATCTGTTACAAGTAAAATATCTTTATGAAATTATAGAAATGTCCATCTTAAGTAAAACTGGCACTTGGCTTCTGATACTTTGATGACTTTTGAGTGCTTATGTGCCCATTTAATCTGGTAATTAAATATTGTTTCTGTACTTCATCAGTTTAAATGCTAATGGAGAAAACCCAAGTTGTACCTTCAACACTTAATTGATGAAACAAACATCTGTTGAAACAGTTATCCATCTCCCAAAACTTCTAAGAATTTATAAATCATCTTAATTTTCAATTTTCACATTATTTTATTTCTGACTATTGCCATCAATGTCTTTAGACTATTTTGCTTCAGAACTCTGAATTTTGGGAAATTATGGATCGTCACATTCCCATGCATGCTTTACCTGAAGAAATCCAAAAGGTATGATGTTATATTTTGTTATTACAACATAACATTAGAAACATTTTACCAATTAAATAATTCTAAAACACAGGGGAGTGACCTTAAAGGTTTTTAATTTTGTTTACAGAATCTTCAGTGAGTTGGTGGAATGGGAGAGGAAATAAGCACAGTGGACAGAACTGTAGAATTCAATTCAGTGCAAATAATATATGTTCCTCTAAAAGAAGACAAATAATTCCAGTGCAATACTTAACCAGGTGGTTGTGGAGCCCTAGTGAAAATTAGAAATGCCCATGTTCATAACTTCTTACGATGCTAAGTTTGTCTCTATGTAGTGCCCTTACTTTTTTTTTTTTTTTTTTGTTCTAGGGATTGAACCCAGGGACGCTTAACCTCTGAGCCAAATACCCAGCCCTTTTTATATTTTATGTATAGCTAGGATCTTGCTAAGTTGCTTAGGGCCTTGATAAGTTGCTGAGGCAAGTTGCTGAGGCTGGCTTTGAACTCGGGATCCTCCTGCCTTAGCCTCCCAGGATGCTAGGATTACAGGCATGTGCCACTGCACTGGTGCTTACGTTGATTTTTGACATGTACTGTGTGCCAGGCACTGTATTAAGCCCTTTGATGTGTATCACACATTTAATCTGGATAGCAATCCATTCTTCACTGTTGCTATGCTATTATCATCCCTGTTAGGTCACATCTGTCCTTAGGCAAAAGCATTTCTTACATATTTAGTTTGAATAATTTTCTAAATATTTTTGGAAAATTATCGACATTGTGAGTTTAAACTTCAGACCTTAGCTATTATTAATCATATAGGTTTTTCAATAAATTACAGGCAACTCTTAAATAATTGATTTATTACCTTTTAAATGGAAATTACAGTCAGCTGTCAGATATGCTTTGGTCCATTGTGCATGTTGCTTTGAGCTGCCTGTTTTTATTCTTACTGCATGTCCTTCAGATTTGTATAAACTGCAAATCAGCAGAAATTCTAAGGAAAGTCCAGTTATAAAAAAATCATATAAATTGTCGCACCTAGTTTTTGAAGTTAAGTGTAAAGTGGTGAGCATGGGGAGCACTTAGCTGGGCTTCTGCTCATCTGAGAAATGGTGTTTGCAGACATGGAATGTCCTTGCCTGAACTGAGTTCCCTCCACATGTAGAATACTTGGAGGTTTAAAAAGCCCCAAAACAAAACAAAACAAAATCTACAAAGGTCATAATCACTTCAGATCCTAATCACCTGTCAAAAAGAAGATATAAAGTGACATTAGAATAATCCTCTGGAGCTGGAGTTGTAGCTCAGTGGTAGAGCGCTTCCTCGCATGTGACAGGCCTGGGTTCGATCCTCACCATCACATAATAAATAAATAAATAAAGGTATTGTGTCCATCTACAACAACAACAATAAAATTTTAAAATTAACCCTCTGTTAGACAGTATGTGATTTAAGTTCCATATTACTAGTCCCTGTTAAGAGAATGGAGAAGGTGGAAAGAAGAATCCTGAATATTCGGGTAGTCAAAGGGCAGCTTTATATAGGACATGGAACTGTGTTACTGGTCCTTGGAGGATATATCTGTAGGCCAAAGGCACAGAAACTTTCTGGTGAGAAAAAGATAGCCAGGCTAGACAATGTGTAATAACTTTAGTGCTTTGAATGCATAAAACATTTATTTTAATGAGTTGAAGAGTGTATGTTCTCTTGGGCACTTTAAATTGTTTTAAAAATGCCAAAACCAAGCATTTTATGAATCTGTAGTTAGACTCTAAAGCAGGAATGGCCAGCAGCTGTTGAGGCAGTGCAGAGAAATAGGGACACCTGGAGGGGCTCAGCTGCCCACTTCCCTGGACAAGTGTGCTGGTTGTAGCTTTCATCCTACCCAGTCTTTAGAACTTGAAATCTTCCGGCCTAAGTTAGACACATTTATACAAAAAGTATTTGTTATGCTTGTTATATATATGGATGCTTGATTATAAATCAGCCGAAATGTGTTCATGCTTCCCAAAGCTTATAAAAATAGTTTTTAAAAATAAACATTTGTTTTCCATAACTTCTTACTTATGTTTGATTTGTCTACATTGTCCATAATTTAATTGCCTAGTTATTGGGCAATATATCTATTTAGTCAGCTTGCATATATTACTTTATACAGAACCATGTAAAATATATGGATATACAGGTTGAGCATCCCTAATTTGAAATCCAAGATGCTGCAAAATTCAAAACTTTTTGAAGGCCAATACGATGTTATAATTGAAAATTCCGTACCACAAAACTTTGTTTCAAGCACATTAAATATATTGTATAAAAATTATCTTATGACGTCATAAAAGGTAAATATGAAATCTAAATGAATTATTTATTTAGACTTTAGTTCCAAGATCACTGTTATGGTTTGGATCTGGAATATCCCCCAGAATCTCATGTGTTGAAGATTTAGTCCCAAAACAGCAGTGTCCAGGGGTGGTACTTTTGGGAGATGATTGGATCATGAGTACTGTAACCTAATCAGTGGATTAATCTATTTAGTGGATTAACAATTTAAATGGATTACTGGGAGGAGGTGAAAACTGTAGGTCATGGGGCATGGTTAGAGGAAGTAGGTCACTGGGGGTATACCCTTTGGGTCTGTGTCTTGTCCCTCTCCGCCCCCCCCCCCCCCCAAGCATTTCTCTTCCACCATGATGTTCTTCCTCATTTCAAGCACAGCGCAATGGATCCAGCCAGCTATTGATTAAAACCTGTGACACTCTGAGCCAAAATAAATTTTTCCTCCTTAAAGTTATTTGTGTCAAGTATTTTTGTTCACAACAATGAAAAGCTAACAATCTCATTATTTGTGTGTACTTATACCCACGTCTGAAAAAGATGGAATCTGAAATACTTCTGGTCCCTAGCATTTTACATAAGGGATAATTGGCCTGTATAGATTATAGTGGTATCAGGGACATTTCAGATTAGAACCAATGCATTTTTAAGATGAAGAAAAATAATATTTTCCACAATGGCTTGGAAAATGTGCTTTATTTCCTTATTGGAGAAAAAAAAATCGAGTTGGGTGTATCTGTGTGGTGATGGGTCTATTAAAGCTGTTCCCCCATTCTTTCCTGTTCTTGTGTTAAACTTTTTGTGTCACTGTATGTTGACTTCTCTTTCTAGAGAAACCCCTCCTTGTGCTTTCTTTCTGGCAGAGGCAAGGAAGTGTAGTGTAGGGGCAGAGAGGAGGAGGTGAGGGGCCTTTCTTATTTATTTTTTCTACTTTTGTTATGTGATATGGAAATATGGATGGTTGACGCTTTAGAATGCAAAAATGGTTGTATTACATTATACTGTTTTTTAGCAAAATAAGTAGTGGGGAAAGGAGAATTGCAAGAAAATGTGAAGAAGTTAAGGAATGATGATAAGCTTCAGTTGGAGAATCCGCCACCTGCCTAGGAGGCAGATTGTTAAATCACCCTCCCCTGGTCACATATCTCAAGGGAACCTTAGGAAAGAAGACATGAGATAACCTTTGACTTCATTTCCTGGGTCTTTTTGCTTTTTATCATGATGTTTGACCAAACACAGAACTTCTAGAACTTCCATCCTCTTGCCTGGCTGAAGATGTAAGAGGCCATTGACTAGACAGGAAGGCCACTCTTGTCCCCTTTGTCTACTGCTGGATTGTACATTTCTGTTCTGTCTTTACTTAGACCATATCTCCAGATCTGCTCTTCTGTGGTCTGTGCAGATTCCTATCTCTCTGACCTCAGGTGATCAGCAGTGATGCTGGAATATTCGTCCCTCATTCTGAAAGCAGAGTACAGTATCATTCTAAGTTTAAACAATTCATAATTTAAAACTAAAGTAATATAGGTCAGCCAAGTAATGATTCATTATCTCTCCCCTTCATGAATATCAGTTCACTTTAGAGACATGTGAAGTCCTCTTTTTAGAAAAAAACGAGTGAACAATTTTCCTTTGGCTATTTTTGCTGGGGTTCACAGGAGCAGCCAACACAACAGTAGCAAACTAGTAGAAAATTCAGTTCATTTGCACAAGCAAAATTGATCTCTTATTTTTAAAATGGTGACAAAATGAAGGCTTGTTATAGGATTTTAGTTTTAGGAGATCTTTCTTACCACATGACACAGTGAAATAAAGAGACCAGAATTGTTTATTTTGCACAATAGAAGTGGTGGTGCAGGACTGCAGAGCACACTGTTCCTTCTGGGTAGCAATCCCTTTCCCCAGCACAAACAGCTCATTCTGTCCTGTTTCAGTAATTTTAGTACTTTGGAACTTTAAAATTTATTCAGAATAACAGTTTTATATTTCCAAGCACAGATTGTCATTGCCAGAAAAAATAAACTTGATTTTCCAGGTCATTTTGGGCCATAGTGGCTAAGTTCAGATTTTGTGTTAAATGAGAGTAGTGGAAAACAGAAAATGGTCATGGAAATGTTAGACCATACATCCTGGAAAGTGGAGATATATGTGTATTTCTCTGTGTGGTATATTTTTAAGCAACTGTAGTTTTAAAACTTAATGACAAAAATGTAGTTATGAATTTGGAGAGATTGTTCACCTAATGTTTTGATCCAAAATAGTTCAGTAGGAAAAACAGTTTGTTTCCAGAATATTATTATGAGTCGTGAAAATTTTGTCAGTTTGTAGTCAAAACTACTTTTGCCAGCTGGCCATAGAAGAGCATGAAGTTTACTAAGGTTTTCTAACAGAAAAGTAGGCATTGGGGGAAATATACTTTGGAAGCATATTTATGTAGATGTAAGTGTGTCATGTGTAATTATAGATTATGAAGCCTGATAGTGCTCATCAAAATATCTTTTTAAATTAATTTATGGTATTTTAATCCCAGATTGATTTATTTTTATTTTTATTATTTGAATATTAAGCTTATTTTAAGATAATTGTAGGTTCATTTGCAGTTGTATGAAATCATACCTTGTATCCTTTCCTCGGCTTTCCCTGGGGTAACACTTGGCAAAACTAAAGAATAGTGTCACTTC